GCCCATCATGACCTTTTTCATCACAGTATTCTTTATGAAGTCATTAGTAACTTCTATCATACTTTCTGAGAAATTGCGACCTTCAGTGACCTCGATCATGTTGGCTTCTAATGGCTCTGTGTAGTGAGCGTCTTTCATTTGTAGAGGGTCTGTGTCGACCTTCATTTGGTTGGTGACTTTCTACCCAAACTTTAGACGTCCTTCCTGGATTGTGTTCTGGACAAGATCCCCGAAAAGAAAACATTGAGATGTTTTATGACCTAAAAAATTATGGTACTTACAAAAACCCCTCTTTTTCCTTTGCTTTAACGATGGCAATTTAGCACCAGGTGGCACTATCATTTGCCCATCTTTTACTAACAAATCGAAAATTTCATCACACTTGGTGATGTCGAAGGTATATGTTTTCTTTGGGAATCTATCATTCCTTTCTGATTCGACAAAACTCTTCCCCTGTGAGAGCGCTAGTACTTTACAAGAGTAGGGGGGACCTTGTTTAAGTTCAACGAGGTCCACCTCACTTTCGTCGAGGTTCAAAGGATCCTCGCAGGTCCTTTCGATGTTATCATCGATTTCGACAAAGGCCACTTTCTTACTCTTGTTAAATCTAGTTTTCTCGTCTTTCAAAGGTTCGAGTTGTCGAACTCTGTCGGCCAATTGAGCCATATCTCTTAAGTATTGGGTGTCTAATTTCTTTCGGATGGAATAGTCAAGGCCTCCAGCGGCCATTTCGACCAACTCGTGTTCCGGCACTTGTGTGGAACATCTGGCCTTGAGTAGTCGAAACCTATTAAGGTACTCTTCGATTGGCTCTGAAAACTTACGCTTTACGCTGGCCAGTTCTTTCAAACTAATTTTGGTTTGGCCTATGTAAAGCTGCTCATGAAACAAGCGCTCAAGTTGGGCCCAACTGCATATGGTATTAGGGGCTAGCGTTGTAAACCAAGTGAAAGCATTTTTGGTGAGAGAACTTGGAAAGTATTTTATCCTAAGGCTCTCATCATTCGCTATTTCCCCAGCTTCTATCACATAACGAGCCACATGTTCGACAGTAGATTCCGTCGTATCCCCTGAGAACTTAGTAAACTTTGGTACTTTCGTCCTAGGGGGTAGCTCTGTTTGAAGGATATAATCTACTATTGGGGATGTATAGTTTGGTCGAGTAAAACCAGTGTTTACTCCATTTCGAGCCATAGTCCTTTCGACCATGGCTGCTAGATTGTTGTCGATGACTATGTTATTACGTCGAACTTCCTGGACAACGTGATCCGCATCCTGATTTTGGTTTATCATGACCGCTCCTTGGTTTCTTCCGTCTAGAACATGGACCTGGTTCATTGGATCTTCTCTCATTGGTTCGACTACGGGAGGATCGACTCTAACCTGGTTTTCCAAGTTTATTTCCCTTGCGTTTCTTACGTCCTGTCGTGGGGCGTTCGCTATTGGGTTTTGGTTTCTGGGTACAGGGGGTACTCCCATGAACTCAGCCAATCGTGTCAACTGCAACGTCAACTGTTGGTTGGTGTGGGTTGTGTTATGGATCAATGGCTGGAAGATTTCACCCATAGTCTGGGACAAAGTCTGAACCATTTGCATGTTGCTTTCATCCATCTGTTGCCTTAAGCATGCTACTGAGGTATTGGTCAGGTTGGGGCCTTGCGTCGAGTATCCCAGACTTTGGCCCTGGAGATTTCGACCAATGTTCACACCGGATCCCGATCCTTGTAATGGAGAAGTCACCGGGTTATCTGAAAAGATGGGGGGAGCATTCTGAAGCCCCTGCATCACGGTTGTAGGCATCCCATATGTTGGATTCCTTAGTAACTGGAAAAACCCAGGAGGAGGATTTTGTCTAGACAGCGGGCTTCCTCCTAATGGTGTCTGAGGATTAGACACTTGGGGCCCAATATACTCTAATACTGGTTGACTATAGGGTCTTATTACAGTCGACCCAGTCCCTAGTATCAAAGGTATTGGTGCAGGCCTTACCGGGAGCGCTATTTGCTCTCCTGTCGATGGTATTGAAGACGACGCCCCGTCGTTTCTTGCTTCTTCACTAGAGCCATCTCGTTGGCCATTTGGCTAAACGGATTTCGTCGCCATCTTCCTAATGTTACGTCTCACTAAACTTTCTTCGTTTGCAGTGGTTATTCTGCCACTTCTTAGTAACATAAAATGTATTTTGAAGAAAAGTTGATAAGGCCTATAATTCTAAAGTTTTATGATCTTGCACAAGACTTTCTTTGTTTAGCACTGTCCCACTGGGCGTGCCATTTTGTTTACCGCGTTTTTTAGTAAACAACCTCTGGTCTATCAATTTGGTGTCAAATTGACTAACTTGCAGGATCGACCATACGAAATCCTAGGACATGTGCTAAAGGTTACTTTCTTTTAATCTTATCTGAAAAGATGTGTTTCGACAATACTAGAAAAAAACAGTTTAAAAAGGCAGAACTATCCACGAGATTTGAAGAAAGAAGGGAGGAAGAATTCCAAGGAGATAGAGGTTTTTAGAAGAAAAAGACTTAGTCGAAGTAATAGCAATAAAACAAAGAGAAAGGCGAAATAAATGAAGGAAAAGTACTTAACAAAAAGTAAGGAAAATAAGATAACTTCATTGAAATAAAGATGGTGTGTTTACATCACATACATTCTCCTTGATACTCTTTTCTCTACACTCGGATACTTTGAGTAAATTTGGGAGTGACTTGTACAATAGTAAATTACAACACCCTTGAATCCTATGTCTAAGACTCCTATTTATAATAATAATAATAACTACTAATAACCTCCTTAGGCCATCTATTTTCGACAAGTGTCACACTGCATGTAGTCCTCTGTCCAATGAGCGCCATTTGTCCTTCTCAGTCACAAGAAAGCATAACTACTCCCTCCAATATTTGAATTTCAAAAACTCAATTAATCCCCAATCCGATGTTTCGGTCGAAGGCCTTAATTCACCAATTTCGGTCGGATGCCTCTATTCCAAGATTCTAAACTTTCTAAGTCTTTGGAGGACCTGTAGGCCCTTTAAAAGGCCAAAATAACCTCAAAATATGGGTCGTCGAATTGGTGAGCTAACACTCTACTTAACAGATTCTCGCCCTGATATCATGTTCTCTATTTGCAGGTTAAGTCAACATCTTGTGAAGTCATCTCATATTCATCTTCTTGCTGCCCAACAGATCAATAGATACTTGAAAAATGCACCTGCGCTAAAACTGTTCTTCAAACATGGTTCTTCCTTCTAACTCATTGGTTTTGCTGATTCGGACTGGAGTGTTTGTCAACTCACTCGTAAATCAACAACTGATATTTGTTTATTCTTAGGAGATAACCTCATTAGTTGGAAGACGAAGAAGAAACTTGTAGTGTCTCGATCCTCCTCCGAAGCGGAGTACCGTGCCCTTGCAAACGCAATGTATGAGGCTCAATGGCTGCTATACCTCTTTCAAGATCTCAAAATCGGGCATTCCGAACCTATCACGCTTTATTGTGACAACCAAAATCCCATCTACATTGCCACCAATCCAATCTTTCACGAGCGGACTAAACACATCGAGATAGACTGCCACTTAGTCTGTGATAAAATTCAAGACCACACCATTCATCTTATGTCTATCAACTCTGCAAACTAAGTCGCTGATTTATTTACTAAAACTCTGCATCTTGGTCCCTTTTCATCTTGTTACCAAAATAGGACTATTAGACCTAAAAAAAACCCTTGTTTACTTTCATCTCACATTAATCACCTTTTAAAAATAACTCAATCTCTGCGCACACAAACTTAGAATTTTATTATTTCAAAACAATTAGTACATTTGCTAATTAGTCATCACTTTCTTAAACAAAATTAGGATATTACACACTTTATTTGATGCAATAGAGAAGGAAGAACCACCTTCTGGTTTTAAGATGGTTATCCCTAGAACAATTAAGAAAGCTCTAAGTCCAAAGAATGGATATGGAACCAAATCAAAGGCTAGACCTCCAAGACCTTCCAAATGAAGTTTTTTTTACACAAGGGGCATTGCCAATGCCCCTTCTAGATTGGCACTTAAGAGGGTCATTCTCTCAGATAAACCTGACCTCATATTTATTGCAGAACCTTGGATGAATTCAAATGCCCTGCCCTTTAGATGGCTGCAAACGCTTAACTTAAAAACTTTTTCCTTAAATGAGAGAAGTAATTTTCTACCAAACCTCTAGTGCATTTGTAAGATACCTTAGTCCTGATGTGATGCAAGTGGATGATAAATATGTGGCCTTCACTCTTATGCAAAAATCACTTTTGACATGGTATTTGTTTTTGCTTTAACATGCTACATCAAAAGAAGAACCCTTTGGTTTAATGGTAGACAATGCATGGTTTTGATTGAGAAGAAATTAGATAGAACAATTTGAAACCAAAACTGGATCAACAGTTGTAATGATATATCTTGCTCAACCATTGCCAGATACAACTCAGACAACCATCCTATATTGACATGCTTTCAATTCAGTTCCTGCTCTTTTACAAATTAATTTAAAAGCCAAAAGGTAAATGTAGAGTTATGTTTAAACAATATTTTCTTCATCCTAAAACTTTAGATAAGTGAAAACAACAAAAATAAAAAACCAAACAAATGATATAATTCCTCAACAAATTTCAAGTCTATAAAAAATTGTAAACTGAATAAAAGAATTACATTCTTGTCTCTATAAATTCTTAACATTTTAGGATTATACAATCAATCAACTTTACTCTATATCTCATTTCTTATCAGCTGATATAAGAACTTAAAATCGCTAAGACTCTGTTTGGATAAACAGAGTAAGTAAACACTTATCATATAAGTACTTGTGTATAAATTGTTCATATCTTAAAGTACTTACAAAAATAAGCGGAAAACAGCTTATAACATTGTCATAAGCTGTTTTCGTAAGTGCTTATAACAATAAGTCAATCCAAACAGACTTAAATATTGGTGTCAAAAACAAGCAAAAGCAAAACATTTGTTTTAGCTAACTTGTTCACCAATCAAGTCCAAACCCATTACAAGAAATGACAAACCTTGAAAAAGCAAAAAGTAAAAATGAACACCATGCTCTGATAAAAGGCTTCTAGCAGAAGCAGTGAGTAAGAGAAAAGCAAGTGCTAATTCTTTCCTATAGAGTTTGTTTCTCTTCTTCTGTACAATCACTTCTGATTTCTGAATTTTTCCTAATAACTCCAAACCAGATTCTGAATGTCTTCTATGAAGCTTCTCTTCGTTTGAAGACTTTGATTCTCTTTCGGCTAATGCAAACAAATCTGACTCAGATGATCTACCTGTTTTCTTTGTCACAACCCATTCGTAAGCACTTCCGAGTTGAAATAATCCAGAAACCATTGCGTTGAACTTTGTAACCGACATTGTGTTCTCGAAAAGAAGATATGGGACGAGGAAAGGGACGGATTTTGGTGATGGAAGGATGTTTATGAATGACATGACGATAGGGACGTAACAGATTACCCAAAGGGGTAACTCGGCTTCGGGTATGAACATTGTTAAGGGTAGTATGATGCAGAATAAGGTGAATGAGTAGAAGGGAAGTATAAGTTTCCTCAATAAGAAGAACAAAAATATTAGATTTGCTTTCTTCCAAATTGATATCTGCAACAAATAGCAAACCAAAATTTAGAACATTTTAAAGCATGTTTTTAAATCGCAGAACCATGTTACTCGATATAAAGTCGGAAGAAAAAAGAAGGAAAACGAACAATACCTTTGAAGTTATGACAGCAGGAAGACAGAGCCTAAAAAGCTGCATAGGACCAGAATGCCACCTATGTTGTTGTTTCTTATAAGCTTCATAAGATTCAGGTAATTCACAAAGAACTCTAACATCATTAAGATATATAAATTTCCATCCATTCAAATGTGCCCTTACTGCTATATCCATGTCCTCAACTGTTGTCCTCTCCAACCACCCTCCTGAATCTTCCAAAGCCTCGATCCTCCAAACACCGGCCGTTCCATTGAATCCAAAGAAATTCAAGAAATGACCATTCACTTGTTGTTCAACTTCAAAGTGAAAACACAAGTTGATGTTTTGAAGCCTCGTCAGAAGATTCTCGTCTTTGTTCACATATGACCATCTTGCTTGAACTAATCCCAAGTCAGGTTTTCCCTATAAACAGAAAGTCACAAAAATCGTTACCACCGTTTACTTCTGGTGTTTCCTTTTTCCATTTTCACAGACAAAATATGTATCAGAATAGGAGTGGAAATAGGCTAGGCCGTAGGCCCCTGTTAGCTGACGAGACCTATTTCCGCGCCTATATCAAAAACAATATTTTGAAATGTTCGACAGTATTATAATGCGTACCTTAAAATGAGGAATCGTTTGTTTGAGGTAATCGGGATTTGGCTGAAAGTCTGCATCAAATATTGCAACAAATTCATAATCTTTGACATAATCACATGACATAGCTGACTTAAGATTTCCAGCTTTATAACCAGTTCTGATCAATCTATGTCGATAAACAATGTTGACGCCTTTTTCTTTCCAAGACAAAACCTCCTCTTTGATAAGCATCTGTAAACTAGGATCATCTGAATCATCCAAGACTTGAACTAGTATTCTGTCTTTTGGCCAATCAAGTTCACAAGCAGCACCAATTGATTGTGAATAAACCTTCATTCATAAGAAGAAAAAAAGTGTCAGCATCAGATGACTAATGAGCTCCGATGAATGTTGAATCAATTGGGATTACTCGAATTTGAACTCTGATTAGAACAATCATTGATCAGACTTTACTTACTACTTACCATTTTCGAGAATTAAAGGTTTAAAACAAAAAAAAAAGAAGTTGAAATTCGAATAAGACTATCGAATTCCTTTCATAATTCGATCCAATACACACACACATAAGCTCCGGTGAAGTTCGAATTGATCATAACTACCCGAGTTCAAACTTCGGGTAGAACGATCTTTAGCCAGACATTACTTACTAGCCAAATTCCAGACTACCAACGAAGGTAAAATCCATCGCGAATACCCAAATTCGAGCTTTGGCCGGAGCAATCATTGACCAGACTTTACTTATCTAACAAACAAACTCCGAATTACCAGACCCCTTTCCTCAGAACCGGACAATTCGACCAAAAAAACATAAAATTGGAAAATCATTTATAAATCAAGCTACCAAATTGCAATCACAATTGAATCCAATATGCACATAACCTGTTTGAAAGAAATCATAAATCAAGTTGCATCATTTTGTTACCTCTCTTTCATTACACATTGGAATCTGAACAAGAACCATAGGGAAGCTTGAAGGATCCTCAACATCATAAGCATCATCATCAATCACAGGTTTCAACTTCTTATACTTGATCCAAAAGCATCCAACACAAAGAACAAGTCGATCCAAAGACTGAATCAAGAACAACACAATACAAAATTTCGAAACAAGCAAAACCAAAGGACCAACATAATTCTCTCTAAAAGACAACCAACCAAGATAAAACCATTGCAAGAGACTCTTCACCTCCCAAGGTTGAATCACAAGCAAATTCCACTGATTAAAATGAGCAATGATTTCAACAACCAAAGCAAGAATTGAAAGAGCAAGAAAAAACTTGATGAATCTGTATAACCTCGTCGTGTTCTTCGGATTCTCGTCACCTATATCAGACAATGAAACTCTCTTCTTCACCAAAGAAACCATTGATTTGAGACCAGTTGTCAACCATGTCAAACATGTGAGAACTTTGTGGAGTTTAAGGAGAATAACCCAAGTAAACTGTTTTGTACTTGCTGATTTTTTTTGCTTCTCTTGAAAGATTGGAGAATCCAAATCATGAACTTGTAACAAAGTGAAATCATTGGCTTTGTCAGTTGAAATTGTAACTGAATTTGGTGCCATCAGTGTAAGAATAACAATAAAACCAAATATGGAATTTTGACCAATGGCAATGGAAGATAATTAGAGAATTTTCTTCACATCAATGATGTATCAACACTAAAAGCTCATGGTTTTATGGTATGTGTGATTGGTTTTTGAAAAATGAATGAAAGAAAATCAGAGAGTTTTGTTGAGAGAGAGAGAGTAAAGCAAGGTATTAATAATGTTTCATAGTAAGAATAAGAACTAAAAAAACAGCTTTTTTTTCTTTTTTTTATGTCTCATATGATAAAAGCCAGCTTTAAATAAAATTTGAATATTCCATTCAATAATAGTAATAGTAATAATTTGTTTGATTCTTTAGAAATAAAGATGGTTTATTTAATTGGTCAATGATTTTTTCTGGATATTCCATTCAATAATTACACTCGGTGCATTGTATTGTTGTGTTTGCTAAATTGATATTTATAAATGTATTTATCTAATTGATTGATTTTTTATAATCAAAATATTTAGTTCAAATACACATCAATGTAAAAATAATGATATTGTCAGTCAATTATAAAAATAAAATTTATAATGATATTTATCTTTTATTACAATTATATTTAAAGTTGGACTATCAAAAATTAAATTTGTTTTTAGTAAGATTGAAAAATAATTAAACATATTAATCAGAGAGTTTTTATTTATTTATTTAAAAGCAATTCAATATTATAAAGTACAAGGGTACTCACCCAATAATATTTGAAATAAAAGAGGAAATACTCAACCAACCTCAACTTGTTTAATAATCTAAAGGGGTTAAGCAAAACTCATAAATATTAGAGTTGAGATTAGAATTTTCTCCTACACTTCCAATCAAAATATTTGATGTTTCAAATGACATCATTCAACTTTAAACTAGCATTATTATTCCTTTGTACACCAAAAATATAATGGTAAATCATTTATATTTATTAGAGTAATATTTTAAACATAATAAAAATCATTTCAAAGAGTGTACATTTCTCAATAATTCAAATCAAAGTCAATGCTTCGTAAACAACGGGTTTTCCCAAAATTACTCAAGAATTGCTCAAAAGGCAGCGGAACTCAAAAAGGCAAAATCGAAAGTTTTCCTTGCGCAACAACATAATCAAAATAACAATAATCAATAAAACATGGTTTAACTCAAAGACCTCAACTTGATGTTACACTATCAGAGCAAGACCCTCTAAGTCAACCAAAAGTCAAAAACTCCAAAAAGTCCTCGACATCATCCACAACTAAACCTGGTTATCTGCACGTTACCCACGTGGAGGCAACATTCAAACAGACAGGGTGAGTAAAACGATTCATAATAATCAATATAGGAATAAATATATAAAATAACGTCATTTTCGTATTCAACATCATCATAATCATCAAGGAAACATCAAAAAGCCATAACATCATAAATTACACCAAATTGTCACATAAATGCAAATGCAACAAGACTCATGCATGTGGTACCAATTCAACAAAATTCAATGGACATTGGGCCATCAACCCTCCATAAATCCCCATCAATGGGATCGATTCTACACAAGAATCTGAGCACAACAAAATACTTCACATCCGCACAATGGAACTGAAGCCACAATAATCAAACACTAGACTGAAGTCTGGAATGCATATGAATGCATGATGCACACATCAATATCATCCTCATAATAAACTCATTAGGTGCATCATCATTCATCAAAATCATCATAATAATCATGTCATCGTATAATCATAAAAAACTCATGGAATCAACATCATAACTCATCATCATTACTCATAGGAATCATCATACAATCATGTATTAATCACATATGAATCACAATCATACTCAAGGTAATTCATCCATAAAATCACAACATCAAAGCATCAAGACAACACTACACAAGAACACAATTCACAAAACTCTGCTACGTTCACTGAACAGTTCACCGTGCGAGTCTGGGGCGAGTGTTCGCTGTGCGAACTCGCGATTACAGCAAAACGCTGTTACGCACCAGCACCAAAACCAACCCAAAAGTCCCTACGATTTTCTTCCCCAATGCCCCAAAGATATCCCTAAATCATTCCTAAGGTATTATGGCGATAAAGACACAAAATCTACGACTTATTAGGTCAATCCCGTATCATATTTACGCCTCCAATTCCCATAAAATCCTTACAATTTTCCCACATTCATTAGAGTTCTCATAATTAATTACCTTATACGGTTAAAACCTCAACAACAAATTTTGGCCACGAAGACCTAATTTCCCTTACTCCCAAATCAGCCTCAAACCTATCAGACCATCAGTTCAAATCCCTCAAACTCATTAAACTCACCAGAAAGGCAACACCAATTCAATACTCAAAATTTCTAAACCCTTAAATCGGCTTTAAACACATTGAATCACATATTGAAAACAATGAAGGTAATACTCACCATACTTAAACCACCTCAAAAACAGATTTGACCACGAAGGCCTAATTTTCTCAAACTCAAAAATCTCTTAAATCCTTAAATCGACTTTAAATACATTGAATCACATATTGAAAACAATGAAGGTAATATCCCCATACTTAAACAACCTCAAAAATAGGTTTGGCCACGAAGGCCTAATTTCCTCAAACTCAACAACTTCCTAAATCCTTAAATCCACTTAAAATACATTGAATCATATATTGAAAACAATGAAGGTAATACTCCCCATACTTAAACAACCTCAAAAACAGATTTGGCCACAAAGGTCTAATTTCCTCAAACTCAAAAACCTCCTAAATTCTTAAATTGGCTTTAAATACATTGAATCATATATTGAAAACAACGAAGGTAATACTCCTCATACTTAAACAACCTCAAAAACATATGTGACCGCGAAGGCCTAATTTTCCCAAACTCAAAAACCTCCTAAATCCTTAAATCAGCTTTAAATACATTGAATCATATATTGAAAATAATGAAGGTAATACTCCTCATACCTTAATTGTCGACTCTAAGTCTTTCTCCTTGATTCTTGAAAACCTCGCGAAGCTTTTCCTCAATCCTCTTCCTCAGAGCTCTGGCCTCTATTTCTTCCCTTTTCACGGTCTAACAAGAACGAATCCTAATTCCCTCAAAATTCCTTTTTGTTAAACCTAACTTTGGGGCCTTTAAAATGGACTTTCCAATTTCACCCTCACTAACTCCTCCTCAAATGTCCACTTTGCCCTCAATTCACTTATATTTATTTAAATTAATAATAATACCAATATATTCATATTATATACTATTATTTAAATAAATAACTCAAAATCCATAATTCTCAATATTCACACCAACCACCGAAAATCACCAAAAATACGAATATTCATATTTAAATAAATTGAATAAATATTCCAATAAATTTGGGGTGTTACAATTTCATTCCTAACTTTCCACAAACTCCAAACTACCGCCATCAATATGATTGTCGATTTGCCTTGTTTAACCTTGTTAATGATCGAATCACACCAAACGGAACCAAAAAGGACCATCATTACTAGCTCTGCAACCTGCCCAGTTTCCTAACTTCTCCCAAATCAACACAGACACAGAACATTGGAAGAAAAGATGCAAAATATCTTCTTCAACCTGTAAACAGAAAGCCCAACAGTCCTCGTTCAATAATCTGCACGTCCCTTTAATTTTTAGTTGATATTTTGTAGCACATCTATTGTGAAACAATCTCCATCCAAACACTCTAATTTTTGTCGGGACTTTACATTTCCACAGTAAACAGAAAGCACAGATCAGATCGGGATTCAAAGATGTTAGTTCCATGGTTCTATGATATATAATTGTCCATGGTTCTATGATTGGCTAAATTTTGGTAAAACATGATCCTGCACTGATGTTAAGCAGGATTTTATAACATCTCCATCTGTTGTGGTGACAGAACTACTGTCATGTGTGAGAAACAACATGAGTAGTGGTGTAGCAGGGGCTGATGACTCATGACATTGCTACTGGTGCAGCAGGAGCTGATGACAAAACTGGTGTTATGGATGTCATGGAGGCAGCAGAAGCTAGCAGGAGCTGATGACATAACAGTTGTCATGGATGTCATTCTGAGTATCACTACTGTTATGTGGATTGATAAGGTCATCTCCTCAGAGTATGATCCTAAGGTTGTCAGGAGTGTAGTAGCTGCTATGTGTTAGCAGTAGCCACAACAGGTTGAGTTGTGCTGAAGTTCCTCACAGGAGGTGAGTGAGGTGTGCAGCCACAACATGTTAAGTTGTGATGAAGTTCCTCACAGGTGGTAAGTGAGGTGTGCTGTCATCGTTGCATGACAATAGAAGGAGCTGCTAGTGTATATCTCTTGACATAGTTGGTTTGGTCTGATGAGTCTGTGTTGGATATACCTCATCAGTAAGTACAGGCCAAAGGAGTGTTATTAGAAACAAAGTGCAGATTTAATGTGTGTTCATAAAAAGGATCTTTGATACTTTTTAGGGAACTATAATACATTTGTTTCTACTGTCATGAAGAAGATTATACAGAAGTGTGCAGCAGAGCAAGCTAGTCAGCTAAGAGTAAGTAAAAGTTGAATGTCATACTGAAGTTCATGACATTGATCATATGACATCAGACGAGAAAGGTTTATTTTTCTGTTATGATACCTGATATATCTCAGGCTAAATATCAGGAAACCTGTTATGACTTCTCAATTATCTCAGACGAGATTCTAGGCAGTATCATGACCTAATTTGATAGCACCATGAATTGTGGAAATTAGGTTTACTTTGTTAAACCTAATGTTTGTTACTTGGGACCAGCCCAAGCCCAGTCTGCATTGCTATAAAAGGAGGAGCAGAAGAAAAAAAAGCACTCACATCAAGAAAAACCAGAGTGTAAAATAAATGTCTAGGGTTTGAGAGTCCCTTGTGTGTAAGTCACCCTTTGTATCTTTTGATACATTGTGGTAGACATATTTGTAAGTGAAGAAGGCTAGTCTTCACATGTGAATTCTGTTTAGGAATACTCGTACTCCAAGCAA